CTTTTATCTCTGTTTTAGAAAAGACCACTCTCCAATTCTTTGTAGTAACTATAGCTTAACTATTCAGGACAACTTCTAAAAAAAAAAAAAAATTAAGCTACATCGGCATTTTTGTGATTGGACTCGCCCCAGTAAAATTGTGGTAAACATTCAAATTTTAGGTGTTATGCTTAACTTTAAATATTTTAAGTTGTTTCATTGGATTCGTTGGCCCAAAATATGTAAAGGTACAAATTTTCAGCTTTCCAACACACATATAACAGAAACTAGGACCAAAATCATTTTTAAAAATGGCGGATTTTTGTTGGTTGGCGGCAAACTTAAAATAGCTATATCTTAGGAATTGATGTAAATTAGACGATAAAATTTTCAGGATGTTCATAATTTACTAAAATCTTTAAGTGGTTTAAAAATCAGCAAAATCTGAGACTTAGGGTTGCATGCCCTGGATGTTTTCACATGGAATCTCACATATAATAACATTAAATATTGATAAAATCCAAATTATAGCTACTACGGATAGGGGGTCAGAGATCCCCTCCCTATAAACCATGTCATTTGGGCCTCAACAGTTAAAAAAACTTTGAATGTTAGGTATAACAAAAAAAAATTTACTGACCCCCTCCACCCCATTTAGGATGTAGCCGATAGGCCACAGCGTGTTATTTGCTAGATGGGTAAAACAACCAAAAAAATCCAATAATACCAAATCTACTACTAAAGCCTACTTGGTTTATAAAAAACAACAATTTAAAAAAATTTGGCGTTATAGGGGTCCCTAGGTCCATCATCTTTGCGGCCCATGTAGCCAAGGCTCTGATAGCCACAAAAAAACATAAAATATGTGAAGATTTTAGAAAATAAAATAACTAACTATAGTTAGTTATTTTAGTAAAATTTAATAGTAAAATTTGAATGAATTTCTAGAATGTTTCCAATGACGCCATGTACTAAAACTCCTATGAATTAAACGCACTTGAATAAATTATCATGTCTGTATAATGCGCCTGGAAAATCACGTTTATTTTAAAGACTCCAAATACCGCAGAAAATAGAGAAGACAAGCTTCGACTAAAACAAGATTTGTTTATCTTGGTATACATTTATTAATTAGTTTTAGTCTAAAAAATTTGCTCAGATGTTTTTTTTTAACATTCTCTTTAATATAAACACAACATGTCTCAGAACTTGGTGGTCCCTTTAAATATTCATCTGAATATGACCTCTTAAATATTCTGAACCCATATTTGTTTTCAGCCTTTTTTATTGTATCAAAGTTTTTCTTTTTCTCTTTTTTATCTTAAATTCTTTTATATATTTTATATAAAAGGATATAACATACGATAAATATAAACTTCAAATACAGCTGATAAAAAAGAATAATGTTACAAAACAAAAAATGGAGATAAATTAGATATGTGAAATATGAAATTGATAGTGATTCAGTAAAGCTAATAGTAACATGATATGCTTATATACTAAAACATAATATGCTTGAAGCTATCACTACCAGCAGTCGATAACCAACACCTACATGTAAATCAGGTACTGAATTTACATGTAGGTGTTGAATTAAATTTGGATAAAGAAAAAACTTTTATCCAAATTTAAGACTTTAATTTTTGATTTTAGTATGACAATTTTAAACATAGAAGTATTGGAATTTAATATTTCAAAACAAAACTTCAAATGTTTAAAATTTATTATTGGAGTAAATGTAAACTATTGACAGCATAGCCTGGACTTTTAACTAGAGATGTCTGAACACAGTCTGAACATTTAACTAGAGATATCTACACAGCTTAAACTTTTAACACTATTAAATCAATCCAAAAGACATTTAATAGATATAAAAGATTAGATATAAAAAAAAAATTTCAACTTAAAAATAAAAAATATCATTATTTATAGAGTGGTCGAATCAACTAAAGAAAGAATAGAAATGTAATTAAAAGAAAACAAATCATGAAAAATAAATGAAATTTTTAAGCTCATAAATCAAGAGAATGTAAAACAAAAATTTGTTAAACAGCTGAAATCTAAATAAAACAGGCCCAATTCTTGTTGAAATAGCCAAGGATATTCTTTGCAAAAAAAAAAAAATTGAGAAGTAATGTACAACAAAGATATTTACTCAGAGATTCCAAGACTCTAACCTCAGAAATGAAAAGAAATAGAACGAATCAATCAAGAAAACACAATGATCTCTTTTAGTATTGCATCCATAGCAATAAGATTGCCGAATTCAAAAAAAAAAAAAAAAAACAGATCAATAAATTTCTACTGTGTCAGAATGCAAAGAAAACATGAATATACTTAAATGTTATCTCTTTCTAGACAAATTGAATGAATTCAAAGTGATAGTTCTCTTTATCGTGCTCGCCATTTCCTTACTTCTGATTCCATCCTCTACCTCTACAAATCTCTTATTCATCCCTGTATGGAATACTGTTGTCATATTTGGGCTGGTTCTTCTAACGATTCACTTTCTCTTCTTGACAAGGTCCAAAAACGCATTGTAAATGTTGTTGGACCTAGACTATCTGCTAAGCTTGAGCCTCTTTCCCACAAATACTATCATGGTCACTGCTCAAAAGAGTTATCATCTCTAGTTCCATCAACTAAAATTTATTCTCGTTTTACTCGTTATTCAGCTAAGTCTCATTCGTTTACTGTATCTGTCCCTGCATGCTCTAAAAACTTTTATTCATCTAGTTTTTTTCCCCGCACTTCAATCCTTTGGAACTCTCTCCCATCTTCATGTTTTCCTGACTCATACAACCTTCAACTTTCAAGTCTTCTGTCAACCGTTTCCTTGCTCTATAACTCTGTTCTTTTTTTTTTTTCCTAGTGACTCCCAACTTAATACTGGTTGCTTGCAGCCTTGTTGGGAGTGAATGCAAATAAAAAAATAAAAAAAAGTTAAACAAGACAAACCAAATGGAATTTCTGTAACTGAGACATGATTTAAAAGTGATTTAATGGTAAATGTTGGTTTCCATCTGTAAGAAACAGTCAAAAACGCATGCAATTGTATAAATAAAAACAAGTTTAAAGACTTACTGATAATGGGCAACTTCATTTTCCCACCAATTAGCTGGTCAAAAGGCTGTGGTGATGCAATTTCAAATAAGAATCAAATAAAAATGTACAGATATTTTATAAGATAATTTTTTTTATCAGCATATCAACATACCAACTTTTTAGCTGTCAGATGAACAACTTGTGAATACCTTAGGTTTGGTCTTTAGAACTCAGTCAGCAAGCAACAGCCAAAGTTATAATAAAACCAAGCAAAGATTTCATCTTTGCTAATTCTAATTTTGAAATATACTTATAAATTTCTTATTTTAAATTTACTAATAAAAACTTACAAGAAATGTTTGATGAACTGATTTTTTACACAGAGGTGACATGTAATTATTATACTCAGATTAAAATGATATTAAAATCTCTAAAAATCAGATCATTTGTTGATTTACAAAATAAAAATCATATTTATTACTTTTTGGTTTGTCTGTTCTTCTCTTGTCAATTCAAAGTAATTCCATTGTAGGGAAAATAACCATCTTGCCTACTTTGAAATACACTTCTGAAAAGAAAATGAACCAATGGTTCTGTATTTAAACTGATACAACTAGTACAAATTTGTTGGAGTTTTTGTCCACAGTCGCTTTAAAAAAGTTTTAGATTGATTGTCTCCTGGTTGTGAACTCTTTCGCTATTTCAGCAATGCACCCAAAGCAATTAGAAACAAAATCTCTGAATCAGTGCATTGACCTCACGGTCAATTTTTTGAATTTTTTGTTCAATTTTTTGAAGATCCATCCAGCCTTTGTATTGGGTATAAAGATACCTAGTGACTAGCATGACTTGTACAGCAATATGAACAATCAAAAAGCAATCAAAGATTCTATGAAAGCAATTATGCTTTCATAGAATCTTTAGAATCTTTCATAGAATAAAAAAATTATTGCTTTTTAGGCAAAAAAAAACCTTAATCACATAAAATAAAAGAAGACATAATCAGACATACATTTGAAACTTTTCTGTACAAGTTCAAACTAATAGTCAAGCAACAGCACTGTTTTGTCTGGGCATTTCACACAGTGCCACGTCAAAGATTGATTTATAGAATAGCTTATGGAATATCTGGTCTCACAATTGAATAGATTGAAGCCTTTTTTTAAAGAAAGAAAACAAAGAGTAGTGCAAAAGTTGATCTTCTTAGGTAAAAATTACCAGTTGTGTTCTACAGGGTTCAGTAATTGTTTGTGCAATTTATAAACAATTAGCCTGAAACTCTAAAAAACATAACCAAGCTATATGCAGATAACACCAAAATAATGAAATGTTTTCCTGCATATCAACATCAAAATTGATTTATTGGAAAAACTTATTGTGCAATATTGTGCACCTCGACTAAAACAAATTAACTATAATATCGTCACCTATCTTGACTTGACTACCTAGACAAAATGAAGACAAAGAGGAGCCAAGATTCAACTTTTTTAATTCTTTAATGGTTTAAACAATTTAGAAACAATTAAAAAAATTAATTTAAATAAACTTAAACGAGAGGTTACAGCTTTAAATAAGTCAAAGTCAGTTTACAGCTTTAAAGCAGGTCTTGATTGCTGGATAAACAGCAATCAAGCAAATCAGCTGTCATAGTATGTTAATACCACACTCAACATACCAGTTACAGCAATCACTATTTTTCTAGTAATAATTTTCAAAAAGTACAACAAAAAAAATCTTTTGAAGAATGAAAAACATTAAATGAAAATTTTTGAATAAAAAAAAATTGTGACAATAACTTTTTTTTTTTTTTTCAAAAATTTTTATATACTATTACTAACTTGTTGAAATAACCTAACCTTTTGTAACCATTCTAACATTTGAAATAATCATTCTAACCTTTTGTGACCATTCTAACCTTTGAAATAATCGTTCTAACCTTTTGTAACCATTCTAACTTTTGAAATAAACATTCTAACCTTTTGTATTTTTACAGCTGCATTACTAGGACTGATATTAGGAGGACTTCTAATAGGCACCAGCTTATCTTCATCTTCTAGAAGTCTATAAGAAAAGAAAAATAAAAACAAAAACTTGAGAGTAAGAATATTGTATCAAACAAAAATGGAAAAATAAATATGTTGCTAATAGACTTGAAAATAATGAAATCAAATCAAAAAAATCTGAAGAACAAGTTGATTGATAACATGTAATGTGATTTTAAAACTCAAGAATTGCTGTATTCAAATGCAAAAAGCATTCTACAACACTCCTTGTGTTTAACTAAAACACTCCTTGTGTTTGAATAACTATTCATATTAAGTATATACAAAATATAGTTTCTTTCGTTATTTATTCAAAATTCAACAGATTTTTTTAATTTGAATTTTTATTCGAAAAAACCATTGACAAAATGGTTTTACAGCTCTTAAAATTAAATTCTCTTGTTATTTAGGGTTTTTTAGGGTGATAAGCTTGGTGTGAGGTTATAAATATGCATTTTAATAAGTTTATCACCTGTAATTTTTATAATTTTGATTTTTACAAAAAGTTTTAAATTATTTTAGTACTAACAATACATCATCCACCAATTCTTCGTAAACATCTTCCATTGCTTTTTGCTCAGGTGGCTGTTTTATAAAAAAAAATATGTAAGTATATATATATATATATATATACATATATATATATATACATATATATATATATATATATATATATATATATATATATATATATATATATATATATATATATATATATATATATATATATATATATATATATATATATACAGCATGGAAAATAAAGGTTAGTCAACAGTTTAGTCATTTCAGCTGGACCGCCCAAAATGATAAAAAATGATAAAAAAATAAATTATTGCAGGCAATAATTTATTTTGAAAAATAAGGTTTGGCAAATAACCAGGGTATAATTTGAAAAATCAATATACTAAAATTTCATAAAATCATTAAAATTTTGAAAAAGCCTTTAAAAAAGTTGATCAGGCTTGGTCGGGAAGCGGGTGCGATCGCGCTTGATAACTGACCACAGAAATAATATTTAATTGCAAAAAACCGGTCAGATTTTTTTAGTCGTTTTGAGAACATTTAAATTTATGTTGGTTTCCTTAATTAAGTTCATTATTTTATTGTAAATTTTAAAATATTTTGTTTTACGGACATACATGGAAATATACATAAACTCGAATGTTCTCAAACATCTTTTTGCGGAAAATAAAAAAAGAATATTTGCGAACGCAAAAAACCCGCTAAATCTAAGAACAACTAATGCTATTGGTTCAAAAAATACTAACCGAAATTTCTAGAATATTCTGTTGAAATATTTTAAAAAATTGTATTATTTGAGTTTTGTTATGTTTTCGTTGTGATTTCTAGCATAAATTGTTTTAAGAATATACTATCAAACGAACTATTATTTTAATTCTCGGAGCCACATCTACAAAGCTATACATGTTTTAAACTAACATTATTTGTTTACAAAAATAAATGTTTTAAATTTATCTTTTTTAACTAATAGGTTTTTTTAAATTATAGGTTTTATTAGTATATTCTTACTTTTATATAATGGATTTATTTTTTATGTAATGTGTTTTTATGAGTGTGTTTTTTGTGCATTTAATTTTATGTATGTGTATTTTATTCAAATGTAATCTTTTAAAGCAATTTGTGCGATTGATTTTGTAAACAAAAATACTTTCAATAATATCTGCGTTTTTAATGAAATTATCAATAATCACCAAAGTTAATACAAATAATTTTAACCACTAATCAAATTTCCTCAGTGTACCTGATTACTGATTCTTTCCCCCAAGAAAGAAAAGTTTTTAAGTTCTTAGAAATTGGTTTACTAACTTTACTTATTTTTGCTTCAGCCATTCTTCAGCCATTCTTACAAACTTGTTATACTTGAACTTAAAGTTACTTTTTTCTGTTTTAAACACTAATTAAAATTATAAAGCCCACTTATTAAACATCTTCAGCGTTATTGTGAAGCCGTTCCGCTTCCCCCTCACATAGTAATTTAACGTTTTTAGTTAATTTCTATTTGGCTAATTGAATTTCTGCAGTAACTCAATGATTTAATTATTTCATTTGTTCATCTTACCAAGAAAAATTGTTTCAAACGTGTTAAACTTTTCAAACTACGCGAAGCATAAAACAGTTATTGAAAAAACTTTTTTATTAATAAATAAATCATCTAGCATTAGTTTTATTAATTGAATCTTGTTGGACTTTTCAGGGCCGGGGACTGCATTATTTTGGCAGCCTTTTTTATGTGCCACAGCACAAAAATGACTAAAAAAAATACCTAATGGTCCTCTTGACTATTTCACGGTCCCCAACATTGTGAGTCTCAAGGCTATAGCCCTTCTAACCCCCCCCCCCTACCTCCTCAATCCAGCACTGGAAATAAGACATAAGTATATAAATAAAAATTATATATACTCTTTGATAAATGGAAGAACATTTGTTTCCTAATTAAACAATCATTAATAGTATTTTGTTGCTTTATACAAAAAGTGTCACTTAATTTTATAAAAAAAATTAAAAAAGAGCGACGTTTCAAAAATATTTGCTCTAATCATATTTATTTTGCTTAAAGTTTTTTCGCGTTTTTTTCAACTGTCTCTCATTGGTCCATTTAATCTTATTGCGCTTTTTTAGTTTGTTTTTGAAATGTTCTCCAAATGACTTAAAAATCTGGCCAACTTTTCAACTTCAACAACATATATATATATATATATATATATATATATATATATATATATATATATATATATATATATATATATATATATATATATATATACACACACACACATATATATATATACATTATACATATAGGTGTATATATATATATATATATACATATATATATATATATATATATATATATATATATATATATATATATATATATATATATATATATATACATATATATATATATATATATATATATATATATATATATATATATATATATATATATATATATACATTATACATATAGGTGTGTGTATATATATATATATATATATATATATATATATATATACATTAGTGTGTGTGTGTGTGTGTGTGTGTGTGTGTGTGTGTGTGTGTGTGTGTGTGTGTGTGTGTGTGTGTGTGTGTGTGTGTGTGTGTGTGTGTGTGTGTGTGTGTATTAAAAAAAAATGTATAAAAAGAATAAAAAATATGAATAACTTTTTAAATGCAACTTCAAAATTATAACTTGCCTTTTAAATAATAAAAATATAACAAGAGTATAAGTATATTATAAGTATAAAATCTTAAACAATACCTGAACAAGTTTGACTTCTTCAACTTTCACTTCTGTGTTTGACTAAAAGAAAATAAACAAAAGGTAAATAAAAAATTATGAATGCAAGCCAAGTCATGTAAAGAAAAAACTTACTAATTATGTAATAGAGTAAATAATAAAAATGTAATGTATAGAGCAAGGCAGTAGTAAAATAAAAATATTAGCAATAGATGAAAAAAAAAAAAAAGCTCATAGGTTGTCATAAAAATAAAGCTTTATAAGATCCACAAGTTGTATAATAAAACTTGAGAATAAAATGGAAAAATCATTGTATCATATGAAGAGCTAACATCAGCATCCAAGCATGACTCAAAACTCCTACTCTCATGTGTTTTGAGCAAACAGAGTGTACATTAAACTTTTAATATCCTTTCAGATAAAAATTTTTTTTTAATATACATCTAAAGTCTCCTAAACAATCTATTAAAGTACTGCTTATATAAGTCACTTCATTTAAATATTTAAAGCCTGGTAAAGATCATCATGATCAACTGGGAACTTATAATCCAGTACAACCTTATGTCCTGCTGCCTGTTAGGATTCACTTTTCTAGGCAATTGCTAGAAGAAGTAAACACTGATTTATAACATCCCTTTTCATGGGGTTTCTTGGTTGAGTTAAGACTAGAGATGGTGTAACAATAAATTCATCTTGGGAAGATGTTAAGTACATCCAGCTACTGTCTTGTAGAAAGTCTGCTAAGCAAAAAAAACATTAGGGTAAGCAGAAAAACTCTGTTGACCAGCCTCGCATCCCTTTTTATGTATAAAATTAGCATAGATGTAAACCTGTTCCATTGTTTTTTACCTAAAGTTACCAGAACTCTATGATAGCTCTCAGAAAGGCTTATTTTATCAACAGCTGTTAAATATCAAATTAACAGTGCCATTATGTGCATGGATGGTGCCTATATTAATGCTTTTGATGTGCATAGTTGAGCTACATAGGAAACCCTTATAACTTTAGGATAATTAGAGAAATAGAGCAACTGATTAGCTCATTGCTTGGGGTGTTGGGCGAGCACACTTGGGGTGCCATGCACTCTTAATGATTGCATCAAGTTCTCTAATAACTTAAATCATTAATCCAACACTTAAGAATACTAAATATAAAAAAAAACCATTATCACCACCAAATAATTTCAATCTTTTTAATATTTGTGATCTTTAAAGTAACGTTTCAGTTCATTCTTAATTCCTGCAAAACTCACCAGATTTACTTGCTCAAAGTGAGACTAACTTAAATTCAAGTATTTCATTTTTGGGTCTTAATGTTGATAGCTATTATACTTTGTTATTTGTTTCTGACCAAGCCCACTTTAACCATCAACCAATGTTTTTGATATTGATGACTTAAGCGCTGATCACACTAAGCACAACTTACTCTGCTGACTTAAGCATCAGCAGGGTAAAACATTAAAAGTAAAGTAGTTTTTGAACATCTTCACTTCCCACAAGGCTGAAAATAACCACAACGTGACAATGGATGAAGGTTGGCTAAAAGAGCAGGTTCAACTTGTTTAAAATACATTTTTAAACAAGTTGAACACTTTGTCTAAAAGATATGACAACAGATATGACAACTGAAGAGTGCAAAATTGAAATATTACTCAATTTTGTATGAGGTTCAAAAGACTTCTAAAAAATCTCTAACATTAATATTGGTCATTAAAAAAGGTAAGTATCTCTAAAACATGGACATAATCTTATTACCTCTACCAAGGATAAGGCAGAACTATTAGCAAAGATCTTTTATTTTAATTTGACTCTTGAATCTAATGGCTACAACTTTCCTACAATTCCAGAGAAACAGATTACTTCATTGTTAGATGTCCAAATTGCTCCGGCTTTAGCCCAGTTATTTTTTATTATCAAATTATCAAATTCTTTAACTGAGAGTCTTTTTAAGAGTCACTTTAATAATTAATCACTTTGAGTCTTTTATTAACAAACTTCTTATCATTTTGAGAATAACATATTTTTTGAGTATAATAACTCCTATAATTAATATGAATTTTGATCAACAAAAAGGTTTTATACACATTAATGGTTTCTCTTCAAGCTCTCTTAATAATATACAGTGTATTTGAACTTTTAAACCTTTTGAATCAATACCTTCAATTGCACCATAAAATAGTCAACTTCTAGGATACAACAAAGAACCCCAGAAGTTACTGAAATTAAAGGTCTGGAAATGAATTTTTACTTATCTATGATAACAATCTTTCTAATAATCTTTTTTATAAAGTGTCTCTTTGTTGATGATATCAAAAATCTTGAAAAAATTTTGTAACTCAAGACAAAAAGTCATCACTTTTTGATCCCTTAGAACAGATAGCCAACATAACAGCCAACATAATATGAATCATGAATGCAATCACTTTGTGTGATTGTGAAAATAAAAAAAGTGGCTGGTGAAATATTTTACTTTAAAAAAAACTGTTTACAGCTAGTATTTATCACTTGTATTAATTTTAATGAATGGGAACACTCTTACTGAGTCCTCATTTTTATGTCTTCTTAGTTTGTCCTTTATTACTGACCTCTAAAGAAAATCTTATAAACAATTGATTGCAAATTTAGCATCGACTACACTATTAAAGCATCTACTACACTATTACTAAATTTACTATCACACTACACAAATTATATTTACACATTAGCGTTAATGTTTTTGTTTTTTTTTCCATTCTGAGGCCTTTCATTGTTGTAAGCATACTTTTTATTTTGTAATCAATTTTTTGTTTTATAAGTTTTTGTTTGGTGATATATTTGTACAGTACTTACATTATTAAAAAATTTAATTTTTTATTATTGTAAGTACTGTTTAAGTGCATTGTCTATCTTATTTATTTTTATTTAAAAACTTTGGCATATAAAATTTGCCGAATTGTCACACACAAGCAGTGAATGACTGAGGAAAGAAATGAAGTATATTAGAATAAAGGAGGATTATTAATTAGACAAAGCATACTTTGACAGTTGTCAAGACAAAAGTGAAGATTAATTGAGGAATATTTTAAAATAAATAAGACAGTACTTAACAATAATAACAATAAAATCAGAAACCCAAAACAGTACTTAACAATGATAACAATAAAATAAATAAATAAATAAAAAAATTGTTTTATAAACACCAATACGAACAAAGACACACAACAAATACATCACCAGACAAAAACTTATAAAACAAAAAACCGATCACAAAATAAAAAATATGCTATCAACAATGAAAGGCCTAATAATGGAAAAAAAACATTAATTCTAATGTGTAAACATAAGAATTAATGTTTTTTGTAATTGTGTAGTGATTAAGTAATAAACATCTCCTCAGAGTCGCGTCTATTATTACTGGCGTTTCGATGAGGATCAGCATTTTTAACTAGTTTATCCCATTAGACAAACGTCATCGCCAATTATGCTTTACCTTGCGACTTACGCCTATTCCAAACTGCAGTAAAAAAGGATTCACTACAGATAGCCAAAACCCAACCAACTCCAAATTTGTAAAGCACTTCATATTTTTATGATGATATGATATAAAAAGTGTCGATTTACCGAACAAACAAAAATAAAAAAAAAAAAATAAAACACTTCCATACCACCAAAAGAAAACATGAGAACAAAATAAATTAAAATTCTAATAGAAATATAAAAATATTCATAAATTTATTTAAAGAAACAATACCAAATAGGTATTATTAGCATAATAAAAACCCAAGATAATCAGAAAGCAGTATACCTCATTTAAAAAAAATAATTTTAATCAACAAAATAAAATAGCCTTAAATAAACTCTAACGCTGTCATAGATACCTCATTCGAAATATGATAACCAATCAAAAGTGTAGGAAAATAAGCAACCCGCGAAACCCAAAATCATAACAATAATTGAGTAATATATGATAGCGAAAAAGAATGTTGCACAAAAACGAAGGAAATAAAAATATTCTCTGAATAATAATAAACATGAAAATTGTGTAATGAATGCAAGTTAATATAACATGAAAGTTTCTTGTAAGCAGTAATAATATGAAAATCAGGAGATAAATAGTATATTAATAAATATTGAAATAAGACCAACCAAATACTGTTATAAAACCAAACAATTTTAAGCCAAATGAGTGGTTAAAAAACTAATTTTGGGTAATGATATAAGTTGTGATATAAAAACAATGTATAAAGTGGGAAAAAAAATTATTAAAAAGTAAAGTTTTCTTTACGGTCTGAACTAAAAGAACATCTAAATCAAAATTTCCTAAAAGTAAAGTTTTCTCTACGGTCCGAATTAAAAGTAACTTTGAGACCAAATCTAAATCGAAATTTCCGAAAAGTAAAATTTTCTCTCAGTCCGAATTAAACGTAATTTTAATTATATATATATATATATATATATATATATATATATATATATATATATATATATATATATATATATATATATATATATATATATATATATATATACATATATATATATATATATATATATATATATATATATATATATATATATATATATATATATATATATATATATATATATATATATATATATATATATATATATATATTAACATATGAATCCTTAAATGAAAAACTCAATCACACATGATAAACAAATATAGATAACATACAAATCTATATCTACATTTCAACCACTTATTATCTATTAAAAGAAAATATTATCAAAATAAGGATGAGTTCAAACAAAGATAGTTTATCTATGAAAGAACAAAAAGCATGAAAACAATGTAAACAGGCTGTAAGTGCATAAGGGTGTATAGGTGTAGTGTGTAAGTCTGTGCTGTTTATGTTGTTTAATAAAGTCTTGTATTGTTAGTAACCAGCGTAAAAGATTTGTCTCTGAACTAAACCAAGCCAGCCCAGCCATACTCCAGAAAACCATGATGGATTAAACACCTATGATGGATTTATAACTGACTTATGACTAAAAAGCTAGCCCAGGCATCTTCCACAGACAAACATTCTCTTTCAGGGTGACAGTAATTGTGCCTATGTATGCCCATGCGCTAAATAATTTATAATATTATAATCATTACTAGGCCTTTCATTGTTGATAGCATATTTTTTATTTTGTGATCGGTTTTTTGTTTTATAAGTTTTTGTCTGGTCATCTATTTGTTGTATATATGCCGCTTACATTTTTATCATTTTTAAATGTTCATATTGGTGTTTATAAAAAAATTTTTTTTTTTTTTTTTTTTTTTATTGTTATTATTGTTGAGTACTGTTTTGGGTGTATAGCCTGTTATATTTATTTTTAAATATTCCTCTATTAATCTTTATTTTTGTCTTGACAACTGTCAAAATATGCTTTGTCTAATAAATAATTCTCCTTTATTCTAATGTACTTAATTTCTTCCCTCAGGCGTTCACTGCTCGTGTGTGACCATTTGGCGAATTTTATATGCCAAAGTTTTTAAATATTATTGTAGGTATTGTTTAAGTGCATTGTCTGTTATATTTATTTTTAAATATTCCTCTATCAATCTTTATTTTTGTCTTGACAAAAATAAAGATTAATAGAGGAATATTTAAAAATAAATATTATAAAGATTGCTAATTGCAAATTTTTTGCATCTACTAAGATTGCTTCTCTTTATTGTTTATTCTCTACAAATCTGTAAATCCTGATTCTATTCTCTACAAATCTGATATTCATACCTGTATGGAATACTGCTGTCTTCCTATTTTGTCTGGTTCTTCTAATGGTGCTCTTTCTCTTCTAGACAAGGTCCAAAAATGCACTGTAAACATAGTCGGACCTACTTTATTTGCCACTTGATTATGCTGACAATTTTTTTAACTTATGATTTCTTTATTTATATATGGAATACTATTAGACAAAAAAGCCCAAAACATTGTTTTAAAAAAATGTAGCTTAACTGTTGATGCAGTTCAAAATGTGATAAGAGTAACAATGGTGATAAGAATATGGACTATAACCTTAACTACAGGAAACATATTGCTTATTCCTTTCATCAAGCTAACTTCAGAGTTAGAGACAAGGCTTCCATTGGCTAGAGACTTTAAAAAAGCTTTAAAACTCACAATTGTATTATAATTGTGCCTTTCAGTTTCACTTTCACTTTCAGACCAATTTTAGAATATTCTTTTCCAGTTAGGTTACTAAAACAAATTGTATTAATAAAAACAGTTAAAAGTGTTTAAAGACAATTCTTGAAGGAAATTAAAGACCTTAAGACTTGACTTATAATGGCCAACTACAGTTGCTAGGTGTGGACTGTAGTTAGATGTCTAAAGCCTGACTTTGTAATATAATTTACATTTTTGCAATTTTTTTCTTACTAAAAGTTCAATGTTCTTTGTGATTGACAACAATATATGTGCCATATTTATAAAATATAAAAACAACATTGTTGTCTAAATTCTTGAAAATATAATTTTTTCTAACCAAGTTGTTGATACTTTTAATAATTTAAAACTAACCCTTCTAATTTAAAAAAATACTATTTATTTTGAAAAGATGTTTTGTTTATTTGCTTATATTTAATTTTGTAATAATCATATTTTTATGGTAGTACAATTTTAACTTATTTAAGGGTATACTGTTGGTGTTTTTGCATGAACTTACATGTCCTTTAGAACATGAATTTGTTGTTTAATAATTACAAACATGATCAAGTCTCAAAACTATAAAAATAAAAACAAAAACTACTAAAACTAACTATAATGGGTTTACTTCATATTTTCCTGATATTTATAACAGTTTTTTAACACTTCTAACAAACATTTACCTCTTTAACTCCAAATCTAAATAGTGGTTACAGCTTTGTTGAGAAGAACTTTTTTGTTTGTTTGTTTTTTAATAAAAATAAAAGTAAATAGTTTTTTTATTACTTTAAGAGTTTTATTAAATTTCTTACAACACTTAGTGGTTTTTATTAATAATAGTGGTTGGTTACTATTTTTACTATGGTTATTACTATTACTACTTTTTTTTTTTTTTTTTTAACATTTTCGCTTCCAACAAGGCTGCAAGCAACCACTAAATAGTGTTGGAAGTTACTGGAAGAAAAAAGATGAAGATTGTAGAGCAAGATAACGATTGACAGACGACTTAAAAGATTGCAAATTATATGAATCAGGAAAGCAAGATGAAGGAAGCGAATTCTAAAGAACTGATGTTCGAGAAAAAAAACTAGACAAATAAAAGATTTTGGAGCACTTAGGAACAGTAACAGAAAAAGGATGAGACTTAATTGAATGACGAGTAACACGAGAATGAATTTTAGTAGATGGCACAAGAGACGCTAGCTCTTTAGAGCAGTGCCCATTATAGTATTTGTAGAAAAGAGGAAGAGAAGCAACGTTACGACGATATGACAGAGGTTGAAGGTTGGCTGCAAGAACAGGTCTAACTATGTTTACAATGCGTTTTTGCACCTTGTCTAAAAGAGAAAAGGCATCATTTGAAGATCCACCCCAGATATGACAACAGTATTCCATACAAGGCCGGATTTGAGATTTATAGAGATAGAGAATAGAATCCAGAGTAAGAAAGTGACGAGCTTGATAAAGAGAAGCAACTTTAGCAGATGCTAATTTTGCAACGGATTTGATATAAGGTTTCCAAAAAAGATCAGAAGTAAGAATTTTACTATGGTTACTATGGTTACAACCACTATTTAGAAATTAATTTGTTTATAATACTTTTTTGACAACTGGTGACTTTTTTTTTTTAATTACCTCATTTTCTTCATCAATTTTAGATTTAGCTTGAAGGCCAAACTTTTCTTTGATAGGATGTTTGCTTTCTTCCAGAAAATATTTCGGAATAACAATATCAATTTCTTTCTAAATATTATTCAAACAAATTATAATCATATTAATTTGCAATAAAAAAAAAAATTAAAAAACAAAACTGTTTTGCCAAGCTTAGGTTAAAATCTTATGTTTTTAAAAAAGAACTTAGGAGTTTCCATTATAATATATATTTATAGAAAAAAATTTCAGAAAAAAAAAACTTTGCAGAGATTGCTTTTCTTTGCGTGTAATAGCAACAACAGCCCTCAGAATTAGAGTCAGCATTCGGCAATGCCAACCTGATATCAACTTCACACAGAATAAAGTTAGCAAATTATTGCCAACCGGTGCAATAGTTTTTAGAATATCTTGTACGCATTTCAAAAATTCAAAAAATCTGAAAAATTTTAATTAGAAAAAATAATTAATCAATAGTTGTAATTAATAATTAGTTTAGGAATCGTCCATAAATTATGTCACGCTCTAGGGGAGGGGGTGAGAGGGGTTAGTGGCTTTGTGAAAACTCATATGAAACTTGTTACTAAAGAGTTATAATGTTGTGACAAAGAGGGGAAGATCAAAATTGACCTGTTTACTACCGCATTGCCACACATGTTATTCTTCTGTTATGGAAAATCTTTTATTTGGACACATTCACTTTTTTTTTAAATGTTTAGTGCATTAAAAAAAAGTGAATATGTCCAAATAAAAGATTTTCCATAACAGAAGAATAACATGTGTGGCAATGCGGTAGTAGGCAGGTCGATTTTGGAATCAGAGGTTTGGTAATAAAGAGATTTGATTATTATGTGAAAAAAATGTGCTTTGTAAAATTTTTTTTGTTTTAATGAAGTTTAAGTTGAGATATAATGATTTTAAATAGATATAAAATTTTAAATAAATATTGATATATTTAATTAAAAATTTTTTTGCTATGCCATCTTTACCACTAACATTTTCATACAAATTAAAGGCTGTCATGCTTACGCAAAGTAAACAAATCCTATAATTGTGTGGGAAAAATAAAATTTTAGAGGACGAAAAATAATGTAATAAAAAACACGAAATTGCACAAAAAGTTTGGTGGAAGTCCTAACCTTCTTGCAAATACAGAACCATCCACAAACAGATTATTCAAGATTTTTATTTTCTTAACAATACTTATCCAAGTTATTGCTTTAGCGTAATTGTAAAACTTATAGCTGAAAAAATAATCATGATATGGAAAAAAGTTAACACTCGACTACCATTAATGTCCACTTATTGTGTAGAAAAAAAAGTCGGAGTACTTCTAAACATATCTAGGTTAATTAACCGAAGTAAATGCAAAGTATTAACAGAAAAAAACACTTCTAAAAATTGGATAGGCTTTTTGATATAAGTTCCTGCAAATGTGATCTTAAAGTTGTTCTTTGTGATGATAAAAATATAAAATGTAGTCATGATAATTGCCCTGATACGCACATGTAGTCCAGATAAAAAAGTGCTATCTTATTTTTTAATAATAGATAAATAAAATAAAAATATTTTTAAATAAAATTAACATAAGTATATAACTAGTATGATAAAGTTTTATACTATAAATTTCGTATGCAGTTGTTTAATATTATCAAATAATATTTAGATTACTTTAAAAGAAAGGTTATATTTAAAAGACCAGAGAGAAAAGTCAGGTCCAAAAGGATTATTTCAACTTGGCTCAGTAGATAGTGAATGGTCTAGAAAAGAATCTTTAAAGAAACATAAAACTGAATATAAAAATGTGGAAGAATCATTACAAGAAGAAAAATTTAATTTACTTCCAGAAATAGTATTTTTTTTTTTAATATTTGCATTCACTCCCAACAAGGCTGGAAGCAACCACTATTAAGTTGGGAGTTACTAGGAAAAAAAAGAACAGAGTTATAGAGCAAGGAAACGGTTGACAGAAGACTTGAAAAGTTGAAGGTTGTAGGAGTCAGGAAAACATGAAGATGGGAGAGAGTTCCAAAGGATTGAAGTGCTGGGAAAAAAACTAGATGAATAAAAGTTTTTAGAGCATGCTGGGACAGATACAGTAAACAAATGAGACTTATCTGAATGACGAGTAAAACGAGAATGAATTTTAGTTGATGGAACTAGATATGATAACTCCTTTGAGCAGTGACCATGATAGTATCTGTAGAAAAGAGAAAGAGATGCAACTTTACGACGATGGGAAAGAGGTTCAAGCTTAGCAGATAGTCCAGGTCCAACAACATTTACAATGCGTTTTTGGACCTTGTCAAGAAGAGAAAGTGAATCGTTAGAAGAACCAGCCCAAATATGATAACAGTATTCCATACAGGGACGAATAAGAGATTTGTAGAGGTAGAGAATGGAATCAGAAGTAAGGAAATGGCGAGCACGATAAAGAGAAGCAACCTTAGCAGAAGCTAATTTAGCAATCGATTGTATATATGGTTTCCATGAAAGGTCAGTAGTAAGCGATAATCCAAGAAGACGTAAAGAGGACGACTCAGTAAGAGGATTGCCATTCATTAATATAGGAATGTTGACCATATTACGGTAGTTGTTTGCAGTAAGCAATTGGGTTTTTTTAGAGTTGAAATTCACAAGCCACTGTGAACCCCAATCTATTACTGAAGTGAGATCAGATTCAAGATCAGCTGCTTGTTCTAGGCGATCGAAAAGAGAAGACTTTTTGTCAAGACAGGAGTATAAAGTTAAGTCATCAGCAAAAAGAGCTACTTTAGATGAAAGGTTGTCAGGAAGATCGTTTATGTAGATAAGAAACAAAACAGGGCCCAGGATGGAACCTTGGGGAACCCAGGAAGTTACTGGAAATAAAGAAGAGTGTTGGCCTTCAAGGATGACTTTAATAAACCGGTCAGAAAGAAATGATTTGATAATCTCAAAAACTTTCCCAGAAACACCATATGAAGCAAGCTTATGGAGAAGACCAGCATGCCAAACTTTGTCGAAAGCTTTAGATATGTCGAGAGCAATAGCCCTAGCCTCACCGCCTCCATCTAATGCACGATAAAATCTTTCAGTTACAGCAGTTAGCAAGTCGGCCGTAGAGCGAGAGGATCAAAAACCGTATTGATTGTCTGACAGCAGTTTATTTGACTCAAGATGAGATGTGAGGAATTTGTTGATTAAAGACTCAAAGAACTTGCTAATAACAGAAAGAAGACTGATCGGACGATAATTGGAGGGGTCAGAATTTTCTCCAGAGTTTTTGAATATTGGAACCACAGATGCCATTTTCCAACAAGCAGGAAAACAAGACTCAGTCAAACACTTGTTAAATAGTTTAGAGAGAATTGAAGAAAGTTCTGGAGAACAATTCTGACTGTGACAGGAATGTTGTCTGGACCACAAGCTGTAGACGAGTTTAATTGAGATATGACTTTAGCAACAGAAGCCGGAGTGATTTGAATGTCTAACAATGGGTAAACCTGTTTGACTGGAATGGAAGGAAGAGAATGTCCATAAGATTCAAGAGTGGAATTAGAAGAAAAGTTCTTTGCAAACAGTTCTGCCTTATCCCTGGGAGAGGTAACAAGATCAGTCCCATGAATGAGAAATGGAATGTTAGATCTACCCTTGTTAACAATGTTGTTGAAGATTTTCCAAAAGTCTTTAGAGCCTAACTTCTGCGATAAGATGCGAGATTTAGTGAACTGAGAATAATGGAGTTTAGCATCAGAAAGCACCTTTTTACATCGATTTCTTGCAATAATAAATAGCCGTTTGTTCTCAAGAGAGTTGTTCTTTTGAAAAAGATGAAAAAAATGGTTACGATTGGATATAGCAGCCGCACAAGAAGGAGAAAACCATGGAGTAGAATGAGGCTTGACTTGAAACCGACAAGAAGGAATAAAAGCTTCCATTCCAGCCTGAATCCAGGAGGTTACGTAGGAGGCGCATTTGTCAGCTGAGAGAGAAAAAACATCAGTCCAAGGACCATCACGAAGAAAATCACGAAAGGAATCCCAGTCAGCTTTAGGGTAGTAGTAGGTGGTGCGATGATAAGGTGAGCCCAAAAAAGAAGTACGAGAAGAAAGATTTACAGAGATCATTGCGTGGTCAGAACCACCTAAGGGAGAAAAGGGAGAAACTGAACATAAGCTAGGGTCAGAGACAAGACATAAGTCAAGGAGTGAAGGTAAATGATTAGGGTTGTCAGGAAAACTAGTCACAAAGTTAACTATCTGAGTAAGAGATTGAGAAACGCAGAAGTTAAAGGCTTTAGTGCCAGCAGGATCAGTGGTGTTAGAGCCAAGCCATTCAGTGTGATGGGCATTAAAATCACCAACAACAACAATATTGGCAGAGGGGTAAAGAGAGAGGGCATGGTCAATTTGATCAGAGATAACATCTAAAAGAGTGCAATCATGGGAAGAAGGAAAACGATAAAGAACAAAGAGAAAGGTGATAGAGTGAAGAGGTGCTAGGCGAAAGCACATAAAAGAATGGTCAAAGGATTCGAACCTGATTTCACGACAAATAGGGGAATTAATGCGTATGTAAACCCCTAAACCTAGCATGTGACTATTGGAGTCTTTACAAATCAAAGGATAGTACCCATCAACACTGACATCTGAAGAAGGAATTGCAGAACTTAAATTTGTTTCACTGAGTGCAAGCAAGTCTGGTAAATTTTGCAGGAGGTAAGACTCAACTGATGGAAAGTTGCTTCGTAGACCGCGAATATTTGTAAAAGATATATTAAAATATTTAGGTGGTGGGGATGGTTTTTTAGGTTTTAAATTTTTGCTTACTTTGGTCATGATTTGGGTTTAATGAGAACTTGACTCATTCATAGATAGAGCACAGCCTCCTAATTAATGAGCTATGCAGTTGTCTCAGTCCTGTTAATTAACCCTAAGCCGTGACATAGGGCTCCTTATGTGGCCTTGACAATGCACACCAAAAGCATTAACAGGGACACCATCCATGCGCAACATGGCACTGTTAATACTCTGATATTTTGCAGCTGTTGATGGAATCAGCCTCTCTGAGAGCTACCACAGAGTTCGGGAAACCTTACTACCAGCCGGCCT